ACCTGGAGCCATCCGAACCGGAGTGCAGAGCCCAATGCTGCGCGCAACCCGAGTTGGGCGCGCCCCAACACCGCTAGAAGAGGAAAATCACTGCTTCGGCCTTAGGGAAAAGCGCTTTCCCAGCGGGAACTCCGCGTGTATACACCCGCACCCACACACGCTCAACCACAGGCACGCGAGCTTAACACTAGCCCTGCCGGTCACCCATCTCCGCCACGTGCTTCCCAGAGGCACAAACGGACCTGTTAATTTTCCTTCGCACCCCACCTCCCTTCTCAGGAGCTCTGAACAAAGCAGTCCTTTGGGGTGACCGCATCTCGCGTCCTGGGGCCGCCGCAGAGAAAGCGGGCGTAGGTGGGAGCTGGCGCCAACCGCCCGCCTTGAGAGGAACACAAGGCAGATGCCGGTGGGACGGGGTGCAGGGGACTCCTCCTAGCTGTGTGAAGCAGCCCCCTTCGCTTCGCAACACCGAGTGGCTCTGAGGGTCGCGCAGTCCTATCCCCAGCCCCTCCTGCACCTATGATCTCGCCACCCGGCTTTAGATCTGGCCACCTTCTCCACGCTTTGGTTTTCCTCTCAATCTCCCTGGGTTCCACGCGCCCAAGTAGCCTGAACCCCGACCCTGAGGTTCTGGATCCCAGCCCCGAACGTGCGTTCGCCAGACCGCCGAACGAACAAGATCTTCCCCCCAAGATCGGCAAGCACGGTGCCCAGCGCGCCCCCAGTCCCCGCCCCGGGAGGGGCAAGCCGGGTGCAGGTGGCGCGGCGAGGAGGCCACGGGCCCGCCCTTTGTTGGTAAACACCGCGCGGCGCCCGAGACCGGCCCCGCGCGCCCTCCCCGCGCCCCCCACGCCGCGCCCCGTCCTCACCCGCGCACAGCGATCCCCAGAGGAGGGCGAGGGCCGCCCAGGGCGCCGTCATGTTCCGCGGCGCCGCCCCGCGGACACCCGGAGCCCGCGGGCAGGGCCGCGCGGCGCTCTCGGGGCGCGCAGGGCCCAGCGGTGGCTGCGCTCTTCTTCCCGCTTCTTCCTTAGATCTAGTTCCCCGCGCGCTTCCTGCGCCTTCGTCCCCGGACAGCGTGCAGGCTCCAAGGGCCGGGCGGCGGGGCCGGGCTCAGGGCCGCTGCGGGCGGCGCAGGCTGCGGCCCGGGCTCCGGGGCGACGCGGGGACCGGGGGGCGGCGGCGGGGCGCGGGCCGGGGCGCGCCCGACTCAGGCATAGCGCGGCGGGGCTGGGCCCGGGCCCCGGGCGCAGGGGCCGAGTCCGGAGGGGCCATGAACGGGGGGAGGGGTGGGGGGAGGGGAGCTGAACCGAGTCCAAAATGGCTCCTGAGCCGCGGCGGCGGAGCCGAGCCAGCGGGGAAACCCGGATGTTGGATACAAAGAGGCGGGTTAGCTGGGCGGGGAGGGGGAGGGGAGGCGGGCCCTCCGGCCGCGTGGTCCGCGCCCCCCTGAGGGGCGGTGCCCGGGAGAAACAACAACAGGGAGGCCCCGCCCCCAGCCCGCGCCCTCCGCCCTCCTGGAGGTCGCGTACCACCGCGGGACTAGAGGGCGCGGCCTTGCGCGCTGGCAGAGTTGGCGTCGGTGGTCGCTAGGACGCGGTGGGCGCTGCACCTGTGATTCTTACTCTGTGCTAGAGCCCACCCTCCCGAACGCACTGCCCTGCGATGCGGGCGGGAGTGGGTGGACAGTCTCCGGACTCGCCAGGATTCACCTCCGCGTCTCCACTTCCCCACCTTTGAAATGGGGGTCAGTGTCAACCGTGGGAAAGTCGTGTCTTTCGTGCCGAAGTAATCGGCAGAAAAGCCTATCTTTTCTGAAATGACAGGTAGTCCTCCACGTCTGCAACCCTAATACACACACACAGACACCCTCTCTTTCTCTCTCTCTCTCTTTCTCTCAAAGGCATCTGGGCATCCTGGAGTTGGACCCACCTGTGTGAGAGAGGGCGCTGAGCCCCTCCCTGCACAGCAGACGCAGGTGGAAAAGGACCAATGGCAACTGGTTTCCCCAAACTTACCCTTGTCCTCAGCACTCTCACCGGCCCCACACCCCACCCCTGCTTCAGTCTGTACCTTCAAAACTGTTCTCAATTGCCTCCAGTCCACCCTGTTGAAGATCTTGTCTGGCAAATGGTTCTGCTGTCCTTTTCCCCTGCCACGTTCCTCCTCGGGGCCCCTTTTTCTTCATCTCGGATTCCACTCTCCTTATCACACAACCAGAGCTTGGGAAGGTCACGGTGGGGCTCCCAGCCAAAGAGGGAAAACCCATCACAATTCAGGGATGATGTGCAGGATCCTTGGATACAGAAATTGTCTCTTGGCTTCTCATGACTTGCCACAGCCTTTCTTGGAGCAAGGTAAGAGCAGGATAAAGGCAGCCAGAAAGGAGGTGGTGCCTGGAAATCAGAGTTATTTCACTTTTTTAAGCCTGTTTCCTTAGGCAGAAAGTGAAGAGGTTAGATTACTCTGCTTTGCATTTTTCAAAAAGCAGAAACCTTATTGAAACAAGATATTATGTAAAAGTCCACCATACAGAACGAAATTGCCTTGATTGATGTTGAAATGAGGGCCCACCACCCCCCCAGTTTCAAAAAGCATCAGGAACTGCTGGATAGTGGCCCCAAAGGGTGGGATCTTTGGAGTCACCACCCAGGAAGATTTGAGTCTCTAAAGGTCCCTTCCAGTTCTGGAAAAATCCTGTGGAAAAGGACAGCACCTCCTTGTCACAATCCCTGTGTAGGCCTTTTAACACAGGATTGAGTGCTGCTGTGTGCTGAGCAAGAAGCAGTGTAGTATGGAATCCCCTGGTGGTGTATCTGGTGTTTGGGTAATACTACAGGAGGCTGTATGGATAGATACATGATGGCAGGGGGAGCAACTTGACATTCAGAATGAGTGGCTTTTCTAGAAAAGATAAATCATTGCCTTCTCCCTGCTGGAAGATAGCAACTATAAAATCCACTGTGGCAACAATTAGGTTGGCTGGTTCCTCTCTTCTATTCCACACCAGGATAGGTATCATAATGACTCAAGGCAGTCCAAGTTGCCCAACACACCTGTGTCTTCCACCTTGATGTCTTGATGTCTCTGGAAACTCCAAATTTGTATATCTAGCTGCCTACTTGACATCTCTATTTGACAGCCTATCAGCCGTCTCTAACCTGACCTAGCCAAAGCAGAGTTCCCCATTTTCACCGCAAATCTGCTTCTCCAGTTGTCCTTCTCTGAATCAATGGCATAACCAAACGACCAGTCACTCAAATCAAAACTTTATGACCCACCTTGATTTCTCCTATATTCAGTCCATCAGCAAGTTGGCTTCAAAAACATATCAACCATCAAGCCACATTCTCCATATATACCATAGCCACCCAACCTCTCACATCAGGACCACTGCAACAGCAGTGGACTGAAAGGGATTGTAACTAGTCACCTGCTTTCATTCTTGCCTGTTATATAATACAACTTCTATACAGAGCCTGAAATGATCTTTTAAACCTGGAACTAGTATCACATTACTCCCTTCCTTAAAAGTATCCCATGGCTTCCTGTTACAATGCCTAATAAAGCTTAACATGATCAACCCTTCTTCCTCTCCAACTTCCTCTCCACCTCCCCATTATCCCCGGACACACTATGTGCTTTCTGCTCCTCAAACACATTAAGGTTGTTTCTACCTCAGAGCCCACCGCCACTGCTACCTGACTCTCTTGGAGAGCTGAAATCTATGTTGCTGAGCTCATGAGATTAGCCTGTAACCATTTTGTTCCTCAGCCAATACTAGGCTGATAGGGAAGGATGATGTGGATATCTGAAAATCAAGTTTGGTTTGGGTTTTCTGTTCTTCTGAACTACAAGAACATTAAATACCTCATTTGGTATCAGAAATGAGGTAACTAGAAGCTGAAAGGCAAAAAAACAACAAATGTGTACTATAAGACTTATGGCAGGGAGTTCTGTCATTCAGGAATTCTGTGTTTAGCACCATTCTTCCCCTACTCCCCGCCCAGCTCAATGGTCAAAGTCAGAGTCCAAGGAACTGGGAAGAAACAACTGAGCATGGCTTCTCTCAGTATCAAGCTAATGGAAGAAGATGGAAAATTATAGCATTAAAATATGACTTGGTATCTGAATTGTTATAAGACATTATATTGTGAAGGTTAAATGCATTTATTTGTCAAGATAAACTCTTAAAATAACCACAACTTTTGTAATTTTACTCTGAGAACTCTTCATTAAAAAAAAAAAAAAAAAGTGAAGGGGTGCCTGGGTGGCTCAGTGGGTTAAAGCCTCTGACTTCGGCTCAGGTCATGGTCTCAGGGTCCTGGAATTGAGCCCTGCATCAGGCTTTCTGCTCAGCAGGGAGCCTGCTTCCCCCCACCCCTGCCTGCCTCCCTGCCTACCTCCCTCTCTCTGTCAAATAAATAAATAAAATCTTAAAAAAAAAAAAAAAAAGGTGAAGTGGCCCCAGCCTCTCTCAGTTCATTGTTTAAAGATATGCTATGGTGGGTTATTATTATGAGAGATATAGGGTAGCATATATTAGAATAGGGGGTAATTTAGTTACAGCAGTACCACATTAAATGATTTCAGAGGGTACTATTCACCCTATATAATGGGGGTGGGTGCATAGTTCTTTGGCAATACAATTCCCCCCAAACTTAGTAAGCTATCCATTTATTTCCAATCTATTCCATGTGCCATCAATGTTAAAAGTTATTTCCTAGACAATTCTCAAACTGGTTTATTTCTTTTCTTCCTATCTTCATATTTCTCCTCACACTCTCTCTTAACTTACGGTGACCACATTCAGGTCAACTAAATTTAATTGGGTTGGGTAGAAAGGTCTCTCAAATAGATTAGATTACACTGTGGTAATGGGAAATCCTCAAATCTCAATGGCTTAAAACAACCAAATTTATTTTTCATTCATGCTACCTGTCCATTGTGAGCCACCAAGCAAGTTATATTCATTGTAATAACTCAGTGACACAAGCTAATGGAGGTTACATTTTGATACATGCTTCTACTATTGCAGCGAGAGAGGGAAAGTAAATTATATTCAGGCTCCTAAGACTTCTATCAGATTCCAGGAAAGCAGTAGCTAGGTTGGTGGCTGCATAGTTTTTGAATTCTTCCATAGTTCTCACAGAGCAACTGCATGGAAACAAAAACAAAAAACAGAAAACCCATGTCCATTTATAAGAAAACTAGAAGACAAGTTTCCCCCCAAAACATCAAAAATACAAGCAAATGGAGATAAACTCTGAACTACCAACAGCAATGCAATCTGCATGGACTAGTATCTGTGCAAGGGGAACCTGAAGAACGCAGCAGTGTAGATAAGGTTCCTGAGAACAACAGAATCCCCAGAAGGCTAAGAGAGATTCATCGGAAATCATGGTTCAATAACAACAGCAGAAGAAACTGGGATGGGCTTCCCCAGTCCGACCACAAGTGAATGCAAGGAGACTCTGGTAAGAATAGAAAGAGCTAGAACAGTTTGTCCCTGTGAACTTTTAAAACTAATTAGCCAGGGACACCTAGGGTGGCTCAGTTGGTTAAGTGTCTGCCTTTTGGCTTGGGCCATGATTCCAGGGTCCGGATCGAATCCCGCACCTGGCTCCTTGTTCAGTGAGAAGACTGCTTCTCCCTCTGCCTGCTGCTCCCCGTGTTTGTGCTCTCTCTCTCTCTCTCTGACAAACAAATGAAATCTTAAAAAAAAAAAAAAAAAACTGATTAGCCAGGCTTCTGTTTTAGATCAGATTCCTACATTAAGGAGAAACTTCTAGAAATGGAATCAAAATTGAGCTGGATAAGATTTTTCTTCCAGCCATCACACAGTAACTGGAATGGCTTTTGCCCTTCTACCATAACAAGAAAAATGGACAAGATATAGGAGGGAACTATTTTTGGACATTATATAAGCTGTAAGCCCTGAGAGAAGAGGAAAAAATGAAGGGAGCCTTTAATTGACCCTGCTTTCTGCCTGAAGACAAATTCCAGTCCACAATGCAGGAAGCATATCCCAAGCAGAGCCTGGAAACTTTGCAGAGTTGAGAACAGAGAATGAGATTGAAGATGGAGAAGCCTGCAGCAAATTTAAGAGCAAATTTTACTCTGGCGGAGTACCAGAGAGGAGGGAATTACATAAAGAAAGCTGGACATCTGCAGAGGAGTCTCCTTGTGTCTCTTGCTGAATTCTGAGTTATACATGCATACAATGAAACTCCATGGGGGGGGGGCGGAGAAAGAAAGACAGAAGCTGAATAGCTCCAAGAACTCACACAGGAAAGGGAAGTTTTTATAGTTCTAACCATCCAGAGTGGAAAGTCCTCATTGAACACCCAAGACTGTCAGAGTGGAAACACAAAGGGTCATTCCATAGTAGTAGAGGTAAACTAGCCAAGAATAAAGACTCCCCCTATAAGTCCACAATAGCAAGCCTTGAATCGATCCAACTGATACATAAGCAATTTAAGTATTTACCAGACAAAAGTTTAACACTTTTAAGTGAAATTCAACAAATTCTGACACTCTGCAATAAAACATTAACAATGCCCAAAATCTAATAAAAATTTCCTAGACATGAAAAAAAAAAAAAAGGAACATGTGACCCATTAGCAGGAGAAAAATCAGTTGATAGAAAAAGAAGACAGAGAATGATGGAATTATAAGTCAAGGATTTTTTAAAGCTATTATAAATATACTGAAAGATTTAAAGGAAATATGAACATAATGAAGAGAGAATGAAAATATTTCCAAAATGGACTTCTAGAAATAAAAGAAATGTAGTATCTTTTTAAAAAAGATTAACTGGATGAAACTGACAGCAGATTAAGACACTACAGAAAAATAAGATCTATGAATTTGAAGACATAGCAATAGGAACTAGCCAAATTAAATATGGGGAGAAAAAAAGACTAGAAAAAAATGAACAGAAACTCTATGCCCTATGGAACAATAACAGATTGTCTAACATGTCTAACTGAAATCCCAGAGAATACAGCAAAAGTATTTGAAGAAATAATGGCTAAGCTTTTTTCCAATTTCATGAAAACTAGAATCCCATAGATCCTAAAATCTTGATAAACACCAGGGAGGATAAACACATATCACATCACATCACATCACATCACATCACAACACATCATATCACATCACATAACATCACATCACATCACATCACATCACATCACATCCTGCAGCTAACATGCAGTGTATCATTAAAAAAAAGAAAAGAAAAGAAAATCATCTCCTAAGATCAGGAATAAGGCAAGGATGATTGCTCTTCCTACCTCTATTCAACATTATACTGGATGTTCTACCCATTGCAACAAGGCAAGAAAATGAAATAAATACTGGAAAGGAAGAAGTAAGACAGTCTTTTTTTTCTCAAATGACATTCACAGAAAAAAAAAGAAAACATATTCTTTTTTTAAAAGATTTTATCTATCTATCTATCTGTTTGTCAGAGAGAGAAAGCGCACACAAGCAGGCAGAGTGGCAGGCAGAGGCAGAGAGAGAAGCAAGGAGCCTGATGCGGGACTTGATCCCAGGACCCTGGGATCATGACCTGAGCCAAAGGCAGCGGCTTAACCGACTGAGCCACCCAAGCATCCCAGAAAATCTTACCTATTCTATGAGTGCAAAATACTATCAGAGCTTATAAGTGAATTTAGCAAGGTAGAAAATACAAGATTAAGCAAAAACCCATTTCTGTATGCTAGCAATGATACCACAGAGCATTTCTATAAGCTAGCAATAAACAATTAAAAATGAAAAATCCTTACATCAGCATCAGAATACATTAAGTATATATGAATGGCCAATGAGCACAGAAAGACATTTGACATCACTAGTTATTGGGGAAACATAAATCAAAACAATGAATACCACTTCACACCCACTAAGATGGCTATTATCAAAAGCAAAAAACCAAAACAAAACAAAACCAGAAAATAACAAGTGCTGACAAGGATGTGGAGAAATTAGAATCCTTGTACATTGTTGGTGTGAATGTAAAATAGTGTAGCTGCTGTGGAAAATAATATGGTGGTTCTTCAAAAAATTTAACACGTGGGGTCCCTGGGTGACTCAATGTGTTAAGTGTCTGCCTTCAGCTCATGTCATGATCCCAGGGTCCTGGGTTCAAGTCCTTGCTCAAACTGGAGCCTGTCTCTCCTTCTCCCGCTCCCCCTGCTTGTGCTCTCTCTCTCAAACAAAAAAATAAAATATTTAAAAAAAATTAAACACAGAATTACCATATAATCCAACAATTCCACTTGCAAGTACATGCCCAAAAGTATTGGAACCAGGGACTTAAACAGAAATTTGTACATCAATATTCACAGCAGCACTATTTGCAGTATCCAAAAGACAGAAATGACTGGACTCAAACATTGAGCAGCCAATGAATGGATAAATGAAATGTGGAGTACACATAAAATATTCAGCCTCACTGCACGGATGAACCTTGAAAACTCTTTGCTAAGTGAAACAAACAGTACACAAAAGGACACATGTTGTAGGATTCCACTTACAGGAAGTATCTATTTTAGGTATTCATAGAAGCATTCATAGAAGCAGAAAGTAGAAGAGTGGCTATCAGGAGCTGGGGGAAAGGGAATGGGAGTTGTAGTTTAATGCTAAAGAGTTTCTGTTTGAGATGATAAAAAAGTTCTGGAGATGGACAGTGGTGATGGTGGCACAACCTTGTGAATGTATTTAATGGCCTTGAATTATATACATAAAAATAGTAACAGTAAACTTTGTACATATTTCTGCACAATTACAATATACAATACAATATACAATTACAATATACATAAAATAGTAAACTTCATGTATATTTCTGCACAACTTAAAAAGCACTTAAATAACAATGAATTTAACAAAATCCTTGTAAGACACGTACACTGAAAATTAGAAACTTAGGGATGCCTGGGTGGCTTAGTCAGTTAAGCATCTGACTCTTGCTTTCAGCTCAGGTCATGATCTCAGGGTGGTGAGACTGAGCCCTGTGTTGGGCTCTGCATGGGGCATGGATCCTGCTGCTTAAGATTCTCTCTCTCTCCCTCTGTCACCCTCCATTCTCTCTCTCTCTCTCTCTCTCTGAAAAGAAAAGAAAACTTAGCTGAGGGGAATTAAAGCAATAAATGGAAGGAAAGAAGTAAATAAAAATGGCCCATGTTTGGGGAATCAGTACACACAGATCTTCCTTAGTCTTTTTTCTTGTGTACCATAATCCATTCAACTGGTCCTATGTTAATCAATACTTGCTTTTTTCCAAATATTTTGTTTTATTAATACTTTCACAATAAATGAACCTGTATAGATGTTTTGTATGTTGGAGTTCTGTCTGTACACAGATTCCTAGCGAAACTGTTAGATCACATTCATACTTAGTTTTGTTAGTTGTACTCATACCAAGGTTCACAGCCTTGGTGACAGAGCATTTTATCAAATTTTTGGATGTTCGTCAATTTTATAGGTGAGAAATGATATCATAGAGGAGGTTGAGCATTTTTAAAAATGTTTAAAAAGTATTTGTATTGTTTCTGTGCATATTTTGTTGTTGTTTGTTGTTGACCATTTTCTTTTTTTTTTTAAGATTTTATTTATTTATTTGACAGAGAGAGATCACAAGTAGGCGGGGGGGCGGGGGAGGAAGCAGGCTCCCTGCCGAGCAGAGAGCCTGATGCAGGACTCGATCCCAGGACCCTGGGATCATGACCTGAGCCGAAGGCAGAGGCTTTTAACCCACTGAGCCACCCAGGTACCCCATTTTCTTCTTTTTAAGATTTTATTTATTCATTTTTCAGAAAGAGAGCGCACAAGGAGAGGTAGCAGCAGGCAGAAGGAGAAGCAGGCTGCCCACAGAGCAGGGAGCCCAATGCAGGACTCGATCCCAGGACCTTGGGATCACAACCTGAGCTAGAGACAGACACTTAACCGACAGAGCTGCCTAGGCGTCCCTTGCTCATCTATTATTACATGTGTTTTGTACATCTATTTTAACTTTTTTCCTGCTATTGTAATTGGGCTCTTGTCCTTCACAACATATCCTTTTTATTGATTACATACGTCAACACTGCTTTTTATATTAAAAAACGATGTTCTGCTACTTTACTGGATTTTCTTATTCGCATTATTTT